GAGAGAGAGAGAGAGAGAGAGAGAGAGAGAGAGAGAGAGAGAGAGAGAGAGAGATATTAAGAAATGAAAAGATGTGGAGCCTGGGTTCCTCTTCTCTGGCGACTGAGGAAGTGCCAAGGGAAAGATGGAAAGTGCCTTTTCTTCGGGACCGTCTATTGCTAAAACACTCTGAGTGGGGTGGGCTTCTATGAAGTGGGGTGGGGTGGCGTGGCCAGAGAAGATAGTGGAGCTGCATCTGAAACTCAGGGAACAGGCATTTCTGTCAGGGGAGGCAAGCATCAAGGCACTGATTCTGAGGGCCTCCGGGGCTTTCTCAACGGAGACCCCTGCTGAGGAAGATGTCCTAACCCTCCTTCGAGAAGGCCAGGCCCAGGGGAGCTGTGGCTAGCCACAGAAGGAGCTCCAGTTTCTGTACCGAGAGCCAGGGCCCCTTTGGTTTGGCTGCGGAGTGTGGGCAGGGGAGGGGAGGTTAAAGGATTAAGTGGTGAGGATGTTAAATGAACGTGGGCTCCTTGTTCACCCCCTAGATTTCAGAATTTTCAGCTTGTTTATTTAAATACCCAAGATGGATGAGTTACGTATTTCTTCCCAGCTTTCTAAAAATATGATAAAAGTGATTTTCGAATTTCAAAAAAATAAAACAAAACTCCAAAGCCCACTCTTTTTTCCAGGATCCTGCTCACTGGGTACTACCTGTAAACTGGTTAATCTGGGTTCCAGTTGGCTCTCCCTCTTTCCTGAGCGACAGCGATGTTCTTACTGTTCACCAGTGGAATCCTGTCCTCCATACCTTTATCACATGCATACATGTATCTTTCCCCTCTCACAGGCAGACTCCCACTTTTCCTAACACAAAGCACCACTACCCAGAGAAAGACATTTATGAAAGGTAGTTCCAGTTCAGCGCTGTGGCTTTCAGGACCCTCTCTGGCCGGACCTGGCTTCCACACCTACAAAACAAGCAGAAAGGAATAAAAAGGCAGTGGAGGTGGCCCACCTACAGTGTGGCCTCCTGGGGACCTGCCACCTCACCTCCTTCCCTAGACACATCACTTGACTGAGCGTGCATGTCTCCCAAGCCAACCTCGGTACCATCACCCAAAGACCAGAGTGAAATTTCCTCTGCACTGAGCACTGCCACCAGACCCTCTCAAGGTCAAGGGAAATGTTTTGTACACCACGCACTGTACCAGCAAGATAGGAAATCCATGGCAACCAGGTGTCTGACTCCCTAGCTAGGAGAATGGCATCTGTCTCTTCTTGGTGTCATATAGATCCCAAGGGAGAAAGAAACTCTGCGGTGATCTCTAATTTCTCTGTCCATGAATCTAACCTGTCCCATCTCCCTGACGCAGCAGCCCTGGCACCCGAGTTTGTTCTGAGGAGCTGATGCCATGCTCTGGGGCCCTTCCTCTTCTTCCCTCTGCTCCTTGGCTGCCATGAGGTCAACAACTCGGTTCTTCTACACCCTCTTACCTTTTGTTTGGCTTTCCCTCGGCCTGGAAGAAATGTAGCCAGCCATAAACCATAACCTCAGAGACCCTGAGCCAAAAGAAAATGTCCCCCCTTTAAACACGTTGTGACAAAAGTGTGGCTAACACGCTCGCTGGACAAGGAATAATTCAGCATGCGGCCACCTTGCAAGTACTTCACGGTTAGTGGAATTTTCTCAGCTGCTCTGCTCTTCAGGGCCCCCTACTGGATTTCAGGCGCAGTCGGTGTTTATACAAGCCGTTAGCCTGAATACACCTGGACCACACAGACAGGTGTTTGCTCACAGATATGTCTGGTGGGGTTTGTGCCTTCAGAATTTGTGGTTCCAAGTGTTCCATATACAAGTAAGTAGCAATTCATGCCCTTATGGAGCTGACACTTCAGTGAGACATTCCACATTTGTTAAAGTACAACACAACACTGAGATTCAAGGCCAGGATTTAGAAGCCCAGGGTAGCCAATGACTGGATTCTCAACCTTTTCATCATAAGACAGCCATTGTTGGACTCAGACCACAGCCTGTAAGCCATTCTAATAAACTGTCCAACACACACACACACACACACACACACACACACACACACACACACACACACGGTAACTATAGTATATTTAAAAAATAGATTGTAGATGTGATTTTGAATATTCACAACACAAGAAACAATCATTTTATATTGTGCTCATATGTTGAAATATTACATTGTATCCTATAAATATTTATAAAATTATCATGTTAGTTGCATACCACACACACTGTGATGTCTAATCTTCATTATCAACTCGACTACATCTGGAATCAGTTCACAGGCAAACCTGTGAGAGATTTTCTTGATCAGATTATTTGAGGTGGGAAGATCCCCCCAAATATGTATGTATATATATGAATATATGCAAATAGTATATATAAATAGACATATATAAGTATACACATATAGTGTATATAAATGGGCATATATAATACAAATATATATGATGCATATATAAATATATACATATACATACATATGAAACTTGTAATCATAGACATGATTAAAGAATTCAGTATAAAAGTGCTAAGTTGCCGGGCAGTGGTGGCGCACGCCTTTAATCCCAGCACTCAGGAGGCAGAGGCAGGCGGATCTCTGTGAGTTCGAGGCAAGCCTGGGCTACCAAGTGAGTCCCAGGAAAGGTGCAAAGCTACACAGAGAAACCCTGTCTCGGAAAAAAAAAAAAGCGTTAAATTATGGGCAT